AGAAATACTGTCTTTAATGACTGTGTTTTGTTTCACAAGTAGAAAACAATGTTTCTGTATTTTGGAATGAACAGTTTAGGATGTGCAAATCTATCTGGAAAAAGGAATTTAAATTGCCACAAATACCCACTTGTGCCTCCTCGTTAGGCTGGTCAGTGAACAAGCCCATGGCTGCAGTACCACTCTCTGAAATGGCCTTGTGGAACAGCCCCTTGGCCAGGGGAGACAGGACCTGTGAAAAAGCAAGAACAAACATGACAAGCACTGTGTTCCACGCAGTGATTTTGGATTTCAGTGCCAGCAGTGGCCATTTGGAACATTTTGACAGCCCATGTGGTAAGAGTGTTCTTGTGCAGCCTCTGAGCACAGTCCAGCAGTGCAAAGTGCTTTGGCAGCGCTCGCAGGGAGGAGGAGTTCAGCTGCCTTTCCCCTCCCACTGCACTTGGCTTCCAGCGCCCCACGGCACCACACTGCAAGCCAGGTACAGACCGAGGGTGCCCAAGGCAGTCTGGCTCTGCTGCACAAGGGCAAGAAAGAGCTTTTGGCCTCAGGAAACAGGGATTTGTACCCCATGTACAATGAACCCTGGTGTGCTCTCTACCAAAGTGTGAGGGACTGGGGAAGGAGAGCTTTGTCACAGCTCGTGTGCTCCAGGTTGAAATAAAGATTTTACACAATCACTGGGTCACAAACTGCAGGGCTGCTTCAGCTGTCAGCACTATTCACCTCGAGCACTTTGCACACGTGGCTGTCAAAGCAAACCAAAAATGGGCAAGAGTCCACAACTCCTCTTAAAGGACATTTCTCAGAGATTAGACTTTTGAGGGTCTAATCTCAAACCCACCAGAATTTAATTCAGCAGATGAGGAATAACGTTCTGTTCCTTAACTACAACATTTGAGTATGAAAAGTGCACATTTTTATCAATCAGAATCTGTATTGTTTTGCTATCCTGTTGCCTTGTGGTTGTATCAAAGACCCAGGTGATGTGCCACTGTAACACCGTCCCTTTTGTCTCGCTGACTTCTCTTGCAGATACTGAAAATGGATGGAGGGGATTTCTCCCCCTAAGTAATTCAAATTCCATATTACTGTGAACTCACAAGAGCAGAAACACTGATTGCTCCTGCAGATTCTCCAAAGATAGTGACAGATCCTGGATCTCCCC